AACACCTTTTTTTTTTTTTTTTTTTTTAATTAAAAGGTGTGCTTTGAAAGAAATAGGAGCAGTTTTAAGCAGCTTATTTAGGATTACAGAAATGATTTTAGTACATGGTTGCTCACAAAGAGATGTTATCAATCGTAATATTTTACAGCTGGGAAGAAACTTGAACAATCGTCCCGACCAACTGTCATTTCACAGAAAAAGTGACTCGCGAAATGCACGAGTCCCTGGGTTCCTGTCCCAGTGTTCACATTAAGATTCTTTTTCAGAATCATCTTGAAGTATGTTTTCAAATTTTCTTTTAACATTTTGAGGAAAATTAAGTTGATGTAGATATGTAGTATATCTTCCAACAACGGAAGAAAAAAAATATTAAGCAATCCCAAATAAGCTGAGTAACATATCCAACAGTCATATTTCAGTAACAGATATGGTGGACATAAAAGCATTTAAATATGCAATCAACCATTAAATCAACATATCTCTGTTCCTGTCCCTTCATATCACTTAATATTTACTTTTGCAGTGCTGGCTTTTCTACTGAGTAGCATTATTTACATATATATAGAAAACTGGCTTTTGCTTTCAGCTATATCTTGATAAGAAAATGAAGTTAAGCCACATACTTTCACCTCCTTAAATCACAACAGTATTTTACATTATTTGCAGATAGGTAATTTCACCAAGTAAAAAATTGGCATTGCTTAAAATACCTTTTAAAAGTTTAGCTATAAAAAGGCACATTTCAATTTTAAAGCCCATAACTTTTAATAAGTTTTACTATGATAGACTCAGCTCCAAAACATTTAAGGATTTTAAGTATCTGACTAACATAATGAACCTAACTTCCTTTCTATGTTACATTAATTTCTTCCAATATTCATATTACTAGTTAACATATTCACAGTCAATTTACCTGGCTATCAAAAAAGGAAACATCTGGATTTTCCAGAGTGATATTTGCATAGAGATTTTTAAAATCTGGTTAAGGTATATATCAAGAGGATAATATCAAAATTTTGTTGGGATTTCATAGAATTGTTTATATTAAAATTCAAACAAAAAAGTCACTCTCTTGAAAATTCCTCCATTCTACTGTACTTTGTAAACATCCCTTCTGTATTTTACATATGTCAATGCTTTAATGTCCACTCACTTTAATAAAAAGGCAACATGCATAAGTAATGTAATAACATGCTACTAAGGCCACCTTACCACATCATCTGCCAAAGTTTTTATTTGAATGTTCTATTAAAACCGAAAAAGAAAGAAAAAAAAAACAACCTGTCAATAAGAGAAATTCATAGACAAAACAAGAAAATAATTGAATGATTCTCATTTTTACTTTACCAAGTACAACTAGTCAGAAAGAATCCACTTAAATATATAAAAAAGTACATTTTTTACAAAAGGAAAACAACTTTTTCAGGATTAAAAATGAAGGGTTGGGGGAGGGGTCCATTTGTTTTTAAAGATGATGCCCGAGGTCCCAAAGTCACATTTGGGTCAGACATGGTGATCACAGCGCTCAAACATGAGAAAACATACAGCGAAGTCACAAGCCCTGTCCAGTTTTCTCAGAGTTTTAGAGTGAACGATCGTGTTTTTACAACACATAAGTTTAAAAATATATAAACAGGAAAATGCCACATTTGATAGTAATGAAATATAATGAAACAGCTCAGTCTAGAACTCCGTTACGCCTGATGGATACTTAAAGGACGCCTTTATAAATAGTCTAGATAAAACTGAACTTAGCAATTCTTCTAATATATGCCCATTTATCCAAAACTCCAACACTTTTTGGACGTGGTTTTCTACTTCTAATACTGAGAATCATTGGAAACGGTATATTCTAGTTCATAAAATACAGCGGTTAATAGAAACTACCACATAACATACACGGGCACCCTGATTTGAAGAATTAGCACAGCAACAGTAAAGTAAGCAAAATAATATCTAATAATTTAGTAATCCTTCGTGATTCAGAAGATGCTTCTGGACCTTACAATGACATAGGATCAGCATGAAGGGCAGTCTTTATTATATTATAAATATGTTGAAGGGCCAACTGAGAGACATGATAAGAAAGAAGAGGTTTTGTTTAAATCACCTGTTAGGAATGGCAAGGAACCTCCTGCTCCATCCTGCCCCTTTCTTCCCTCCAACATAAACTAACCACAGACATCGACGTGGGCACGCAGGCTCGCGGGCCTTTGTACTAAGAATACGGTCTCCTCGCTGATGGGGAGAAGTCCATTATGAGTTTTAAGGAAGTGAGAATTATTTGCTCTCAGGATCTCACGAAATCACCTTGAAACACCACCAACCAAATGCTGGTAAAGATCACCCTGCCGTGGATGGGCTGGGACAAACACTCTATTACGTGTACATTTCATTTTCTACTTTCGATCCATTGGTTCCCTCAGGGATCTACACTTGTACATCTTCATGCAGTGTCTTCCTCGCATCCTGCTGACACAGATCCCAACCAAGCTTTACCGCCTCAGGAAAATAAGAGAC